CAAAATATTATTAAAAGTTTCAAGAAAATTACGATAAGAGAGTACGATAAGATGCAACTGAAAAACATGTGGGATCAACTAAAAATAGACAGGAAATTTTGGAAGGAATTGAAACGAGAATCCACGGGCTTTGGTTGGGATCTAATCAAGCAGATTATTGATGCTTCAAAGGAATGATGTGCTGAGAGATTGAAGATGAGTATAGATCAAACTTATATATTATGACTTTATTTTTCTGAATTGTATGAACATATCCATGTTCCTTTATATTGCAGGCAGTGTTAGCCACCAAAAAATTAAAATTCAATGGCATTGACCCCGAGCTGGAAGAGAAATTGGATTGTATGTTTAATGGGGTTGTGGCAACAGAGAATAGTGCTTGGACCCCTTGTGAGTGAGAGTTTGCAGGCATGCCAAAAAGAAGTAGACTCCACTAGCAAGACAAAACATCCAAGGGTGGAGAAAAAGAACAAAGAAGGGGCTTCTTTCATTAGAAGTCAAACATTATAACCAGTGGTTTCATACACCAGTGACCCTGGGACATCAAAAGCCCTCCATGTAACAAGTTATCCGAGTTTTGGAGCCAATTCCATAAATTTATGAGGCATGTCTATTTGCTCTCCATGAATTTACTGGAGGACCTGACCCACAGAGTGTTCTTCATGATGAAGACCTTTGACTATAGGGTCATTTATTTACGTTATTTTTAAGACTACATGGACATTTACTTTATTTATTTATCTTTGCATTATTTGTACTTATTTTCAGTAGATTTATCGGGCTTCTTATTTGGATGTCATTATTTGTACTTATTTTTCAGTAGATTTATCGGGCTTCTTATTTGGATGTTTTTTTTTCCTTGGAATAATGCTAATGCTACTTTGGATGTTTATTTTTTCATCGTACACTTTGTAATTTGTTATTTGAAGTTCATTTATGATTGTTGCTATGATGTTGCTTGGCTATAAAATGTTGTCATCTTACTTCATTTAGTGATTCTCATGTCTTACTTGAACATAACATTTATTTAACATGTATTCAAAAAGAGAGAGACGCAGAAGAAGAATTGTTGCATCGGTATGTTTGATGTATGAATACTACAACTCATACGCAGATTAGTTTCTCTGCATGACATCATCTTATATTGGTGATAAATGTGTTAGGGAGCTACTTGAAAACATCCTACATAATTCAACAACATGTTTCCTATGACATACTGATCTCCTAAATGAATTACACAGAAATCAAGGACTTCATGGCTTCTCCGAGATGATTTCCAGAGAGGTGTTAGCAATAACCCTCAAAATTTTGTCACATAATAAATAAATGAGAGGAGCGATGGAGTAATTGCAACATTCATCGGAGAATCAGCAAATACTTCTCAATTGGGTTGAATGCTCTTATTAATTTTTCATAGAAAATTATCAAGTCAAAGGACCCAACATTTGAGAGGACTCCGATAGAGATTGAAAATGACCCGCGGTATATGTCATAATTTAAGGTAAATATTTTTACTCATTATATTCAGAAGTCAAAATGAGTAGTGTAATTTACATAGCCTTATTTAATTTGTTAGAATTGTATTGGAGCTATCAATAGAACACACATGAATGCACGTGTATCAAATAATGAAAAAGTCATATTCACAGGGTAGCGTGGATCACCAACACAAAATGTAATGACTATACGTGATTTCAACATGTACTTTACTTTTGTTATGGATGGTTGGGAATGCAATGCACATAATAGTCATATATTCATATTTTCCACAAGAAATCGGAAGCACAACTTCCCCCACCCACCCCAGGTTTGCTCAACCATTGATCTTATTTAAATTTTTTTTTTCTGTGCATTACTAATTGTATTTGTGATAAATAAATATTATTTGGTCGATGCAGGATATCCCTTAAAAAATAAGATATTTGAAGTCATTTCTGAATACTAAATGTCACATTCCCGACTTTGAAAGGTTCGACAATATTGCTCGAGATAGTAAATAAATGTTTAACAAGAGACACTAGCCCTTATGTGGTGTCATTGAAAAAACATTTAGAGTGTGGAAGAAAAAATAGGTTATACTGCGTGATATGTCGTCATATATATTTCTGAAGCATGTGCAGATAGTGGTGGCGACAATGGCTCTCCACAACTATATTCGGCGGCGTCCTTCGAGCAATGACATTAACTTCAGCAAGGTTGATGATGATCATTTACATGTCTCATCCGACACATTTGAATATCGCATGAGATATTCTTTATCACTGGCAGAAGTTGAATCACCTGAGGGTTGCACCCAAGATTGTCAAGGTGCTTGGGAAATGATTGAATTGAGAGAGCGAATTCCAGATGCCATAGTTGGTTGTTGAATGGGCCAATTGTTGTTTTTCTCTTATTGCTACTATCTTTACGATGAATGGTGAGAATTTTTATTATTTGTTGTATCAACGTTCTGCCAAATCATTTAAATTTTGAATCTTAATTTTATTTTTCGCTCCTTTACATATATTATTCCCCATCAGAATAGTCGGAAAGGCAACCGTGGATACAATATGATATATGAATATTTATTGCATGTTTATTTTTGATTTTTTTGAAGATCGGTGATGAGACATTAGACCTTAACTATTCTTCTGAATGACTTACTTGTCATTATTGGTTCTTGTCATATGTAAAATCCCAATGAAAGCAACCATACACCTCTCAATTTTCAATCGTGGTTTTTTTAAGCTCTTATGAATGACCTTTTTTGTTTGGTGATATGCTGTGACACATATAAGTCCGACATTACGTGTTTTGAAGGCAACCAAGAACATTTTTTTCAAGGTCTGTTGTCTTTTCAATTAATGTGATGTGAAATTTTGAGTGTTATGCATGTAATTATATTCTCTGAGACCTCAGGCTTTAATTATAATTTTTTTAGTTAATATTGTGTTTAATGATTTATGTATTGTTGTGTTAAACCTTCAGAAAAGATGAATTTGATGACTTTCAACACCTCCAAAGGATTGAACTGCGATTGTGAACTATTATGATCTCTGCTTACTTCGTGACAGTCACATAGCTACAAGAAACAATTTTACAGATGTCCGAGGAGAAGACAAGAAACCTGACTTCTTTAGATGGACAGATAGGTTGGAAAAATCGACAGTTGATCGTGATCGGGCGGGGTGAGTTTCCTTGGAGGACGGATTGTCTTGTAACCTACACCAGCTGCATTTTAAAAATAACATTATCATCTTATTGATTGTTATTTTAGTAGTTTTTTAAAAAATTTTGATAGTCGTGTCACTCACTATTTAGTGAAATGTCTATTTTTATTTTGTAACGTTCAGACTGGATATTTACTTTCAAATATGGTATGAGATAGCATGAACAGTTCTTTTGTAAACAACATTTAAATACAAGAACAGAATGATCATTTGTCCAAAAACAGCAACACATCTGTTTTCAATCTGCAAATAACAAACAGACAATTAACTTATTTGCAAAAACTTACTGTCATAGTTGCAACTACCTCAAACAAACCCTAAGCTGATTTCATTCCAATCAATTTTATTTTATTGACTTCTACATTTTGAATCATTTTTTTGCATTTATAACACTAGTATTAAAAGCATATGCATGAGAGAGTATTTCACTTCTAAAATATTAGTGATAATGATATTTTTAATGAGATGTCAAAGTTTGAGTGTTATGTATTTAAATATGAAAGTGCAAGTTTTAGTTGAATAAATATATATCAACACCTAAAGTTAGTCCATTTTTTTACATTTGTAACACTGGTATTAAAAATTTATACATGAAAATAAGTATTTCATTGTTAAAATAATAGTGAAACTGATATTACTAATGTGATGTGAAATTTTGAGTGTTATGCATGTAAATATGAAAGTGTAAGCATTACTTATAAAATATATAAGAATTGTGTGATATTCATGTAAATACCCCAAAAAAACACTTAAATGTATTGGAAAATTTTATAAGATGGCCGAGAAATTTGCAATGTTTTATGGCGCAGAATGTTGGCCTTTAAAAGAGAAGAATAAATAAAAGTTAAGCGTTGCTAAGATGAGAATGCTTAGGTGGATGAGTGGATTGGCACTTAAAGACAAAATGTGAAGCGAGTCTATCCGTGAAAGGTTTGGTGTAGCTCTACAAGCAAACATAATTTGAGAGAATCATCTTAGATGATTTGGTTACATTAAACACCGACTATTTGATGATCCGATTAGAAGAGTAGTTGTTTTAAATTCAACTTATGTCAAGAAAGACAAAGATAAACATAAAAAGATAGCCGCAATATATAAAAAATGATCTTTAACCTATTAGAATTATATGAAAAAATGACACCCAAAAGAACAATGGAGAAAAATGATTCATCTAGGCTACCCCACTTACTAGGATAACGGCTTGTTGTTGTTGTGAATGTTGTTGTTTGTTGTTGTTGTATTAGATAGATCAACTTGCCTATTAATAGCATCAGAACAAAACACACAAGTATCTAACAAAATATATTTATATTTCCTCTGATTCCCAACCAAACCATAAACTTTATCACAAATAAATCATTATGGTTGTGAAATAAAAATCAATTAAAATACTGAACTAGAAAAAAAAAGACAATCAAAATGAATACATGATCAACCAAACAATCTCCACGAGATGATGCCAAAAAAAATATATATATATTTGACAAATGAAGAAAAATCCAAGTTTCAAGCAAAAGCAATGCTTGCAACTGGCATTCATTAAAATTAGGGTCTGTGATCCTTTTCTGTAGCAATTGTATTTCCATGCTGGTTAAGGCAGCTAAAAATTGAAGTAAATTTATATGGTATAGAGGACAGCTGTTAATAGTTATGTCAGCCTTATCATAACTTCTCGAGTCACGTTGGAGAACTATACTCAAAAACCAGATTCAAAGTTATTTTGATCAAAAGAAAGTTGATTTTATCTGACTGAGATCTGTAAGGTCCTGAATGAAATAAAATTTTTAGCCCTGTGCTATTATCTATATTTCCTGAACAAGAATTAGTAGTATTTAGCAGCATCATCAATGAGGGAGAAATTTGGTGTTTGCTCACTGTATTCAACTATTGCTGTTGGAGGAAGCTCACCAATACAGATCTTATGCACAGTTGTCAGAAGTGGAAATAAGCCCTGCCATCCATGGTGACTCAAAACTTCATATACTTCTTTTGCTGTTGAAACACCCTTCAAAATAAGGTTATTGAAATTTCAAATCTCAATTATTTCAATTGGTAGAATAAGCCATATGTTGAGAAGTTTTACTGCATTTTTCATATATAACCCTCCACTTTTTTCAGTAGCCTATAAAAATTGAAAGACTAATTCATTAGACATAGGATGTAACCTATTCTGCTTATCTAAAGCTTTTTTGCATCGATATGATATTGTCGTAGACAACCTTTTTAACATTGAACTCAACATAACTTGTTGACATTTGGTGGTTTTAACACTCACTTTGAAAACAAAATGTATGCTTAAAAGTATGAAAAGTAAAGCTATATTTATGAAATCAGTTTTGGTGGCATACCTGCAATTTTTGCCCTTGCAGTAGTTCAGCTTCTAACTCACTAAAAGATCTACAAGAGAGATTTAAAAATAATGTGAGGGGGTTCACAAGCTTAATCAAGCCTTAATTAATATGATCCCTTTTGAGAGAATAGTATTTGGTTAGATACTTTGTACCGCCGGTCCTGGCAAAGACTTCTGCAACTCTCCTGTTCCTTCCTCCAACTGCCATAAACCATAATGATCATCTTATATTATCTCATAACATTTCTAATGAAAAAAATGGAGGCTTATGAGTATTGAAGTTTCTTACGGCATGTTGTAATAACATCAGCAACACCGCAGCTCTCAAAAAAGGTGTTGTCTTTTACAGATGAGAATAACAGTTTGGATAATGCACGCATCTCTCGCAGGCCAATCCTCATGATTGCAGCCTAATATGGAAATAAAAAAATTATACTTATGTAATCTCTGTTAAAATACTAATAATCTCATTGGTTATATATATTTCAGATCCAACCTTCGTATTATTTCCCATGTCCAAGCCATCAACAAGACCTGTATCAATAATGCACCACTTTCTTTTGCTTTAGTATTATTCTAAACAAGGCAAAATGAATAAGGTGCTGCAAAATATAATGTCCACAAAACCTGAAGCAATGGCGACCACATTCTTTAGCGTACCACATAACTCAACACCTTCTATGTCTTGCACCTGCACATAATTATGAAAATACAATTTATAAAAAAAGCTGGACCATACCTTGTGCAGGACAGCTATCACAGCTCTGCTATATATTCCATTCGAGTTATCAAAATTTTTTAATTGAACTTTTGGCGGTCATGCAGTAGATCACGGTCCTCAATATGTTAACTGATATATGAGTCTTATTTTGTAGCTTCGTTCCAAAACCATGCTCATATCATGCAAGTAAGACATTAGTCACCATTTATAAGCCTTATTTGTTATAGTTCTCATTGTTATTATTTTAGCAGCAAAACAATATTACTTCTTTGCAAACCTATAAACATCACCAATAGTATGGCCTTATGAAACACTCTACACTATAAATTTGAACTAAAGGTCAGATTCACCGTAGTAGCAAAAGAATTTGAAAGCGCTCGGGTTTCTGCACACTATAAATTTAAATTCACTGTTGTAACAAAAAAATTGAAAGCACTCAGTGAAGCAAATCTTTGAATGTAAGTTCTGTTAAAAAAAATAATAATAAGCAGAGCGAGCAATGGAAGAGTTCATTATAGTATATGAAACTGGTTCAACAGTTCAACAAAACCACCAAAATCATAGGGCTGTTAAAGCTTGTTCTTCTGCTGAATTATAAGAAGTATATCACGAGTAACTTACTACAGAAACTAGGCTTGTTCTTCTGCTGAATTATAAGAAGTATATCATGAGTAACTTACTACAGAAACTAGGAAATATCGTTGGCCGAACAATTTTGCCCATCTCTGTGCAACTTCCATGCTGTGCTTATAGCCTATAGTTGCTTCGCTAAACTTTTCAAATGCTATCTGCATTTACAGAAATAAAGAATTGATCAACGAGATTAAATATTATATTCATTCATATTAAGTAAAATCTAGATGATGGGTGAGTGAGTTTTTGCCTCATCAGCAATATTTGCACCCATGAGAACGCAACAGTTGATGCCAAGCGTATCTGTAATAAGCTTGGAGATCATGCATGGTCCTTCTTTCTTTACTTCCATGCCTTTAATAAGAGAGATTCCCTCAGCATCAGACCTTATTTTTCCTACCAGCTTCCCGCATATTTCCTCAATGAACTGGTGTGGAGTCACAAAAACTAGCATGTTTGCCTCTCTCACTGAAATTACAAGAATATTTATAGTTAAGATAGCTACATATACCCACAAATTGGGTGAGCATGGGGGAACAACTTTGCCAAAGGATAAATGTTGCATGGTGGAACATTTATGGAGGCAGCCAATAAGATATAGTTAAAATAATTCGACTAATGTATGTAATAGGTTATAAAAGATATTTTTTAACAAATGGAAAGGTGTTAACATAATGTAGTAGACATGAGACATGGAGGTTGGCTTCCATAGCTAAATTTGGAAAATTTTTAGACACAAATAATTTAAGAAAATTAGAATTAAGCAAACCAAGATTTTTAGGATTTTGTTACGCCAGTCCGTAAAAATTTTTTAGTATTTTGTTATTTGTTATTATATAAATAAGACTACTATGCTTAGGGTTAGGGTTATGCATGAGATTGTTGTGTTTGATTCTCAGGGTTAGGATTTTGGAGATATTTCCTACCTCTTGAATTGTAGGATTTATGAGAAATCATCTAACTTTAGGTGCTTATATTTTATATATTTAGAGTTGTAATTGTTGACTTGCTTTTGGCGAAACAAAATAAATATTATTTATATCCTAATTTCTCTGAAAAATCATTTCAATTCCTATCAAATTGGTATTAGAGCATTCGATTCTAGGAGAAGAAAGATTTGGTGCGCCCTAGTCATGATCCACGAGCAAAAAATCATGATTTGCAGCTAGCAGAAACACCAACATCAGGATCGTGGCATACAGAGACAATGATGAGGTAAGGGCGCACACGCGATACAATCATGATTTGGCTCGTTTTGATGATGGATCGAGAATACATATAGATGTGGACACATCCATGGTTTTTTACAAGCAGCGAAGCAATTGACAAGATCGTGTAGTACAGACGTGTGATACGGTCGGAAAACAACTGTGGGGAAGTTGATAGATTGTGGAGTATAGAAGTTCCACACCGCTCTTGATCTAAATTAATGATCGGAATGGCTACCTAAAGGGGTTTCACACCGCCCGTAACCGAAACTCATGATCAGAATCTACAACCTCTGAAATCCCGATCGTGAGAAGCCAACAACGGAATTTCCCACTTTGAAACCACGTAAAGGAATCTAAGATTGTGCCTTCCCAAGTTTTGTGTGATTTCCAATAGTTTTGCACCAAACTGCCTACGTGAATTCAAGGATCGCGATGCCCAGAGTTCCGCACAAGCTGAATAAGCGTAAAAAAATACTAAAACTCGCGATTCTAGCAAAGGGAGTTCTGAAACTGTATAGTGAGTAATGGCGGCCAAGAAAGTAGATGATGTGGATAATAAATTGGAGGAAGATGAGAGCCTAATCAAATTGGGAATGGAAGAGTGTTTCTTGTCCAAGGAGAGATTTACCGTCTTGAAAGAAATGATGAAGAAGATCACAAAATCCCATGTAAACCCTCCTTGGGAGAAATGATGAAGAGGATCACAAAGTCCCACACAAACCCGCCACTGCCTACAATGTGATCAAGTTAAGGAATTAGAAGCGGACTCGAACGACAACACGTGGAAGAGAAAACACAACATAAGAACAAATAAAACAACCGCCACTAGGTGGAATGAGGTGGTACGTGATTCATGGATGGAGAAGATCTATTAGAAGGACGTTGGCCCAGAATAGGGGGTCAGGGTTGGTGGGACCCCGACTGAGGGTTGCATCTGACAGTGTCAATGACTTTTGTTACAACAGCTTTTCGGGCAGAAGAAAATTCAGGAGCCTGTGAGGAAGAGCAAGGTGATTATAGGACGGGCCAGACTTATGTAAGAAGAGAAATCAAAAGGGATAGAGAAAGGAAACTCAACCCTTGCTTTTTCAAGAAAATTGGGGAGGAGACACATACATAAGGAAGCTGAAGATGTCGATATATGGGTGCAATGAACTTCATTCAAGAAAATTGGGGAAGAGACACATACATAAGGAAGCTGAAGATGTCGATATTTGAAGGAGAGAATGCATGTGGTTGGATTTTATCGTAAGGAAAGTACTTTATTGTTAATAAATTGATGGAGGAAGAAAAATTGATGACTATGGCTTCGTGTTTAGAAGGAAAAGCTCTAACAATGTATCAATGGAAAGAACAATATTAGCCAATCTGAACATCAGAAAAATTCAAGGGTTAATTGTTGGAGTGCTTCAAAACCACACAACAATAGGACTTACACGAATAGTTTTTTCCATTGGTTCGGGAATGATATATCACATAGTATAAAGAGAAATTTGAGATGTTATCTTTTCGTTTGAGAGGGATATCATAATAAATGTTGGAAAGAAACTTTATGAAAGGGTTGAAGCTAGAGATTTAAGCATCATTTTACCTGCTAAGATCGTGATTGGGGGAAACTATGGAATTAGCACAGTTTTTTGAAGGCAAAAATGTAATTAAACAGGCTAATAGGAGCAGTACAGATGGAGTACCATTTCGAATTATTACAACCACAATGATACCAATAGCTTAAATAGTGAATGTCTTGAGAGATGCTCCACAAGATAGGAAAAAGAGACCTCGACCAGGGGGCGACACTCAAACACCTTACAGAGACAAAAATTCAGGAGAAGCAGATCAAGGGGTTCTATTTTCAGTGTAATGACAATTTTTTCATAAAACACCATTACAAAGATCGGACATTATAGATTCCCACAGTGTATGATGAGGAGTCAGGGGAAGTTGAACCAAAAAAGGCTATGGTGGAAGACAATGAATACACTCACTTGGTTATGGCACAAGTCTTATTGAACTCGGTGGTGGGATTAACACCGAAATACACGCAGAACATAATTGTGTTAATAGAAAATGGGGCGCCCACAACTTTATCTTTATTCAAATAGTAAAGCAATTTGGGCCTGAGATTGTGGACGTGAGAAATTTTGTAGTCTTGATGGGGACAAGACAGGTGGAAAAGAACAAGGGAGTTCGCAAAAAAGTGATTTTCATACTTCCAGATATTTAGGCGATGAAATATTTTCATTCCTTACATTTAGGAATCACTAACATGATATTGAGTATGAACCATAAGGAAGACTAAGAAGAATTGAAAATTGACCATGGAGTTTGAGGAGGGAGATAAGACGAAGGTGTTTCACGGTGACCCTAGTTTGTGCAAGACCCTGGTGTGTCTTTTTAGGGTTGAAGGGGCCACTACCTAAGACCTGGAAGGGGTTGAGAAAGTTTATGGGACTTATAGAAAACTATCACAAGTTCGTTAAAGGTTATAATTTGATTGTGTGGTCGTGGATAAAGAAAGTGAAGAATGATATCTTTCAGCGGGGGAAAGTCACGACCCAGACTATTGAAAATTTGAAAAAGGTCATGATGAGTGTGCTAATCCTTATGGCGATAA